GAGAAGGGAAAAATGGAGAAAAAATATTGTCCATTAGAGTGTCCATACTAAATGAGGCTAAGAGAGAGGGCTTTAAGTACTCTAAGTACCCAGCGCTTTATGTCATTAGGATGTGGGAAGTAGCAGCCCATCCAGGTCAAGTCTTTGTTTAAAACTCTAGCTGAGGTGTCAAACTTGTAAATGAAACCCAGTTCTGTAGTTTCTGTCTCCAGGGGACTTTTGAAATTGCTTTGAAATAATATAGACACTTTTAGATCCATTAGTGAGCTCCCAGGGTAAGTTGAATGTTTCCCTACTGATTTCTGCCTGTTACCATTTCAGGAAGGAAAGAAAAGGGAAAAATGGAGAAAAAATATTGTCCATTAGAGTGTCCATACTAAATGAGGCTAAGAGAGAGGGCTTTAAGTACTCTAAGTACCCAGCGCTTTATGTCATTAGGATGTGGGAAGTAGCAGCCCATCCAGGTCAAGTCTTTGTTTAAAACTCTAGCTGAGGTGTCAAACTTGTAAATGAAACCCAGTTCTGTAGTTTCTGTCTCCAGGGGACTTTTGAAATTGCTTTGAAATAATATAGACACTTTTAGATCCATTAGTGAGCTCCCAGGGTAAGTTGAATGTTTCCCTACTGATTTCTGCCTGTTACCATTTCAAATAGCTGATTTGTGTCCATTAATCCTTTGTTGTAGAGACCGTCCAGTTTGGCCAATGTACATGGCAGAAAGGCATTGCTGGCACTTGAAGGCATAGATCACATTAGTGGATGTGCAGTTATTTGAGCCTCTGATGTGGTGGCTTATGTGGTTAGGTCCTGTGACGCTTGTGTAGATGTGTGGACAGAGTTGGCACTGGACTTGATTGCAGGGGTAGGTTGCTGAGTGAATATGATGGAGGTGTGTTGTGTGGTTGCCTGAAAGAATTTGTTTGAGATTAGGGGGTTGTCTGTAGGGAGGATTGGCCTGTCCCCCAAGGCCTGTGAGAGTAAGGGGTCATTTCCAGGATAGGTTGTAGATTGTTAATAATGTGCTGGAGGGGGTTAAATTGGGGGCTGTAGGTGAGGACCGGTGGTGTTCTGTTGTTTTCTTTGTTGGGCCTTCTTGAAAAAGCTGATGCCTGGGTACTTGTCTGGCTCTATCCATCTGTTTTTTCACTTCTCTGGGTGAGTATTTCAGTTTTAAGAATGTCTCCTATAGATGCTGTAGGTGTTTGTCTTTGTCAGTGGGATTGAAGCAAATCCGGTTGTACCTTAGGGCCTAGCTGTAAAAAATTGACTGTGAAATGTGTCTGGGATAGAAGCTACAGGCATATAGGTAAGTGTAACGTTCGGTAGGTCTCCAGTATAAGGTGGTGGAAATGTGGCTGTTGTGTAATTGTACTGTAGTGTCAAGGAAATGGATCTCTTTTTTCCTGAGGGCAAACTCATAAAGAATAAAATGAGTAAGAGAAACAAGGTCAAAGTAACTAGCCAACAACTCTTCGATAATTAAATAATATGGTCCAGGCCATAGGAAGGGGAGGGGGGCATATTTGGTTTTTCTGAGTGTCAAGTATCCTCTCAAAATGGAGAGCAGTTTCTATAATCCAGTGGTCACAAGTGCAGTTGGGCCAGTGGTACTTGCCATACACTTGGTCCCCACAGTACCTTTCCTGTAAAGCACTCAAGAGTAAAAGCTCTGTTATCTGGCATTCAGTTGACTAGAAAATGTTAATTAACTGGCCTTTCTGAAATCTCCCAATATAAATCTTCTGTCTAGTGACCAGGACTAGTATACTAGTCAATGTGTTATATAATTGCATAGTCTGCACTCTACTTTTATGCAAAAGAGGCAGAAGACAAGTAAGCGAGGTAAAATCAGGGATTTATTCCAAAGAGCAGCTTCTAGGATGTGTCATAGGGTCACTACAGATTCAGCAAAATCTCCTACACCTTCTACATCTTCAGTGATAATTCTGGTTGATAATGATCACCCTGAGGAACCTCAAAATCCTTTTGAATTATCAAAAAAGATTAAATTGTGTTCAGCATAGTTTTAATATTAAGTGTTTTTAGTGATCTGGATGTATGCCATGCACTTTCCATACTGATATATAGTGTCATAAGATAGCCTACTTGCATACCTAAATGCTTCAAGAAACCAGCCACTCTCCAGTGCAGTACTACTACTGAATTAGTATTCTATTTTATACTTTATTCATTTTACTGTATTCTAAGTCTTTGAAAACTGGTATTCCATTGGTATATGGAGCACTCAGTTAACCAGAATATTCAATTAATTGGCACCCCAATTCTGCAATATGCTGGATAACAGAGCTTTTACTGTAAAAAGTGGGTGAATAATGGAACTTGTTAAAAATGTGAGTGAAAACTTTTGTGAAATCCTATCAATGACACAGAAATGTCATTAGATATGAGGATCCTGAAACTCTAGAGCTCATTTTTGTGAATCCAAGAGAACTTGTTTCTATGGCCTCAAGGCTAGAGGATGCCTTCTGAAGTGTACTATTATTGCTATTTGTTTTGTGTACCTGTCAAAACTAAAGGCCTTAACTGATATTAGGATCCCTTTGTACTAAATGCTCTACAAGCACTTAGTAAGCAACACTCCATGCTCCAAAATATACAGAGGGGCAGAAAAGAATTATTATCTCCATTTTAATGATGGAGAGCTGAGAGATTAAATTAGTTGCCCAAAATTACATGGAAATCTGTGACAGAACTTGGTGCTGTACTCAGATCTCCTGTATTCCAAACCCTTGCCTTAATCTCAAGACCATCCTTCCTCTTGAAGAATTATATTCCCATTATAATTGGGGAAATATTATTTGAATACTACAATTTTGAAAATCAGTTACATTTTTTCCTTCTCTCTTATACAGGAACTGGTGTGCTTATGTCCATACCAGACTTTCACCTACTGTTGTAGTGGACAACCTGGAAACCTTAACATCAGGCAAAGCAAAGCCATGTATCTGGGCTACTGGAGCCTGTACTGTGAGGTGCGTAATACTGTACAGAAATAGTGTTTGCATGGACTATAATTATGAATGACTGGGTAACCTCCTATTACTTTGAATGGAAACTACCCTGTTGATAGCCTTTAGCCAAATATGTTGGGATAAGCAACTTGTAGGATTCTTTGATATCAATGTAGAATTCTGAAGCAAAGCATATAGGTAACTCGGTGAAAATAACTATTCAGCTACTGTACCAAAGATCAGATACCAACCCTTTCATAGCCCCCATGAAGTCAGGGTAAACAGCTTTTGTGTAGGAGTTCTAAGAGATCTTATGGAGGAAAGGAATCCATGCCAGGGAACGGCTGAGTGACTGGATGCAGAACAACTGTGCATGCACCTTTGTACTAGAAGCACAGGCCTGTACGCAGGAATTTCTGGGGAGGGGGGTGCTTCTTTTTAGTAAATGTGGACTGCCATTTTTTAGAGGTTTTTAAGTTCCAGCTTGACAACACCCTGGCTGGGAAGATCTAGTTGGGATTGGTCTTACTCATGAGGTTTCCTCCAACCCTATGAGTCAATGATTCTAAGAAGAAGCAGAAGCAAGAGAAGCAGAAACAGAAGTAGAACCAGAAGGAGCAGCAGAAGCTGAGGCTGCAGAAGCACCAGAAGCAGAAGCAGCTGCCGAAGAAGATGACAAAGCAGAAGCAGATATAGCAGAAAAAACTACAAGCAGCACCACAAGTAGCAGCGTTAGAACCAAAAGCAGCAGGAGCATGATTAGAAGAAGTAGAAGCAGCAGTAGCAGAAGCTGTAGAAGCAAAAATAGCGAAGCAGAAGAGGCAGATACAACACGAGAAGAAACACAAGCAAAAGCAACAGAAGTGGTAGAAGATGAAGAATCAGAAACACAAACAGAACCAGAAGCAGCAGAAGTAGAAGCAGAAGAAGCAGTAGCGCCATTAGAAGAAGCAGAAGAAGCAACAGAACCAGAAGATTGGGTTTGGTTTTAATGCAGCCATTTTCTCCTCAACATTTTTCTGCCAACTCATGCTAACAGATCACAATGACACAAAACACTGGAATTCATTTGATACTCCCTGGAGAGCAGCCCGAGCTCCCCCACACCTTATCCTTCTGACCCAGTCACCATTTTCCTACGAATATGGCCCTAGCACAAGCCTCATGGGCTGGCAACAGAGGGGGGAAAACAAGCCCAAAAGTTTTATTTTGCTCCTTAAACTTTCCTAAACTTTTGTGGGGCAAGGGTGCTGGAACAATTTGTGCAGTGCTGAGAGCTGCTGCAGCCACCTGTAACCCCTGCTGGTGATGGAAACCACATCAAGCTGGGGGTGGGGGACGGGGTGTGCAGCAGCACCACAGTACCTCTGCTGGGGGAGGGGAAGAGGCACCTGCACTAACCACAGCTACAGTCACAGCCAAGAAACAGCAAGTCCCCCACCATTCCACCTCCCTCAGAGCGTCAGCCAAGCTAGGCTTTGGCATGGGGCGGAAGGTGTTCCAAAGAGACACTAAAAGGCAGTGGCCTCTCCACCTAGCATCCAAGGAACACATCCACTTTTTCAGAAGAATTTTACAAGGAATAAGGGATGTGTCAAAAGAGCACTTTTTCCTGTAATTTGGCACCATATAGACGCGACAAATTTCAGAAAATTCTCTTGTGACAGCAAATTGTATTTCTTTTTCCGACTTACCATCGCATTGTAGAAATCAGGAATCTGATACCAACAGTCCCCAGGATCAAATGGAAAAAGCCAATGCCCCAGTTCAGCCTGATTGACATGGTGAGCAAGCTAATGAAGGAGTGAAGAGGCCAGGGGGATCCTGACCTCTTTGGCTATGTCTACACTGCACCGTAATTCAATGATTCAATGATTAGAAGAAGTAGAAGCAGCAGTAGCAGAAGCTGTAGAAGCAAAAATAGCGAAGCAGAAGAGGCAGATACAACACGAGAAGAAACACAAGCAAAAGCAACAGAAGTGGTAGAAGATGAAGAATCAGAAACACAAACAGAACCAGAAGCAGCAGAAGTAGAAGCAGAAGAAGCATTTTTTAATCTTATTTCAAAATAGCTTATTTCATAATTTGGTGCTCCAAATTTTGAAATAACCCGCTATTCTGAAACATCCCTTACTCCTCTTGGAATGAAGTTGACAGGGATGTCGGAATAGCAAGCCCAAAATAACGGGCTGTTAAGATGTAGGATACTGGAGTATCCCAAAATAGCATTGCCATGTAGAGGTAGCCTGTTTAAGTTGACTTTGTCTGGGTCAATTAGAGTAGGGTCCAGCTAAGGAGAAAGCAGAACCCCACGCTGAGCTCTTAACACTTGGTTTCTAACATTTTCTTGATCTTCAGATCCCAGATGACGACTCGCCAAGCTTACAGAATCAAACATAAGATTGTGACATCACTGGAATGGAAGTGCTGCCCTGGGTACGGTGGAGAAAAGTGTCAGCCCAAAGGTGTGTCAGAGCGATATTGACATGAATCCAATTCAGCTTGCAGAAAGAAAAGGCAATGTGATTCTAGCCCAAAAGTTCCAGATGAAAATCAGTTTAGTTGAGATTTTCCTAACACAATGAAATCCATTTCAATTATAACAGTATAGACTGGGCTAAAAATATTGGGAACATTTATCTACTGTCCCTGTCCCCTTTCAGTTTTTACTGTCTGTATCACATTACCCTGAGAGGGGGAGAAGGAAATTACCTCCTCACCTCTTCCTTAAATAAATAAACTCTTGAGTCTGATTCTATTGTGCAGAAAACTGGAATCTGTACTAAATGCTTTCCTGCTTCGGTCTGACCTTTTGGGAAGGGCAGAGAGAGCATACAGAATTGCAGTCCTGAGGATATTAAATCAAGGTTATCCATTGAGCACCTACTGTAAAATGAATAGCCCTCTACTATGCTGACCCCTTTGCCTTTTCCGATTCAGCCACTTGGAATATATTTCAGCCAGTAGATAAAATGATAATCCCAATTCTTTTTATCACCGAAATTGATAGAAAAATTGTTACTGGTTTCTGTGGTTGCAGGATTGGGCCTGCTGACTGACTTATACAAACGATAACACAGGATGTTCTATATGGCTTGCATATAACTGTGCCTTTTTTATATAAGGCATGTAGCATTTACCATTGCCCTGGTGATCAAACATATGGCAATGTGCTGTCATTTAACATCTGTATAACTGTTACTACTTTGCCCCTGGCCTTACACAAACTGCCCTTGAAAAATAAGATCTGGCATAGCATACATATTTTAAATGAATGAATATTACAAGAAAGGCTATTCAATGTGTTAGAAAATTCAATCAGCAGCAGTAGAATAGAGACTGTGATTAAAATTTAATGTAGAGGAATGTAAAAAAGCCACAGTCATTCACATCTAGGAGAGGGAAATACTGAAGAGCTAGGACACCAACAGTCATGAAAGTGTCTCTTGTAATACTGCAAACTACTGGGCATTGGGTCCGGCTCTAATGTGTCATGATCAATCACCATGATTTATATGCAAAACCCCAGCTTGACATACTCAGGGTTGACATTTAAAAAAATACAAAACATTAACAAAAACTGATGAAAAATAAGCCTTAAAAAGGCGGCAGGATATAATCAAAGGAACTGGTCCAGCATCAAGGAAATGGGAAATGAGGCCTATACCACAATTCATTGTAAATTGGCATAGAAAAATGGAAAGGGAAGTTTTGGTGGGTTACAACTGGTGGCCTAGAGTTGGAACTGATGGGTATTACCCCCAGATCTTATATTGAGTTGCTGGGTGACCTGAGGCAGTCACTTTGCACACTACTTAGAAACATGGGATGCCACATCTCACAGGGCCACAAGGAAGCTTAGTTAATGAATGCTGGTAAAGCACCTGAAGGGCTGGCCTTGGACGAAAAGTGTTATAAGTGCTAAGAGTACTGTCTCCAGCATCCTGCCCCCCCCCCCTTTTGTGGCACTTCTACTCCAAAGCCACTGACACTTGCCTCCTATGCCATACTTTCATGCAGTGAATTTGCAGAGTTGTGAGCCAATGGCCACAACTTTCACACAGCTGCAGAGAGAACAATTCTGTGTGCTCTGTTCTATCCCACAGAGAGCTGAGTTATCTATGTTGCCTCTCCTGACCTTGCCCACACTATGCCATCGAATTGTGGCAGTGTGATGCATTTATGGGAGTCACATGCCTATCAGTGCATCATGAGAAATGTAGTCCAATGTGGAAGCCTGACCCAAAAGGAAGAATGAGGCCAGCAGGTTTCTGAATGATAAGTCTAATGAAGCAATGTGACATCGTAGGAAAATGTAGTTTAATGCTGAATTGACTTGAAATGAAATGTTTTGACATGGGAATGCTGAAATTTTTTCTTTTGATCAAGAATGCTAAAACTAAATGTTTCATTATGTTCAAAACAAAATGTTCCAAAAAAAACCTCCCCCAAAAATCCAGCCCCATAAAATTGTCACCTTTTTGTCCCAATATGTTATAAAAACAAATGTTTGAAATATTGGAATTTTCTCTCGAAATACAGTAGTTCTGATTTTTCTCAACTCTTCATATATACAGTGCATTGTGCACCACAAATCATTTCTGAAAAGCAAAAATGTACCTGCATAAATGTAGGTCAGGTTGCATCCAAATGCAGTAAGTTGATTTTATGTGCATTTTATGTGCATGGATTCAATTCCCTCTCTCTTCCCTCTCCCCACTTCAATTATTTCATCTACTCTGACTGCAGCTTACAGCACTCAGTACTCTCAGAATTCCTGAGAAAATACAGTAACCATTAAAATATGTAAAAATATATATATATATATGTCTGCAATAATGTACCTTTTCCAGCAGATGGCTCTAAAACACTCTGAACAAAAGGAAGCAAGCTACAGCCTAGTGAAAAAAAAGCACAAAGGACAGCAATTCAAATTTAAGCACAGAACTGTCACAAGGATTATAATAGGGACGAGAAGGATTCTTGTAATGAAACTCAGGAAATCCCCCCAGTGATTCCCCTTTAGCTGCTCCTGCTGCATCAAAATGTAGCCAGAGCAAAAGATCTAATTTCCATATTTTAATACTTCCTGGAAATCATTTCATGCATATATATGTTTAAAAATACATGCAACAATATATTGCATATCTAGACCAAGATTTTCTAAGATAGGAGTCTGACGTTGGGCTCCTGAATAAGTGATCTAATTCTTTGGAAGTGCTGAGTGCCCTGCAGGTGCTGGTGATTGCGAGCACTTTTAAATAACAGATGCTAATTTTATTGATTGTGACGTAGGCCACGTCTTCATTTGCAGGAAGATCCATGCTGTTGCATTCTAACTTCCAGCATTCTATTTAGCGTGTCTAGTAAAGATGCGCTAAATCAAACGCTGAGGGTGCCCCCATGGGTGCCAGTACTCCTGCTCCTCGCAAGGAGTAAGGTATGTCAACGGGAGCATTTCCTCCTTGCCTGAGTAGGTTGTGAAGGCTAGGACTATAACAGGGTTTAAAAGAGAACTAGATAAATTCATGGAAGTTAAGTCCATTAACGGCTATTAGCCAGTATGGGTCAGGAATGGTGTCCCTAGCCTCTGTTTGTCAGAGGGTGGAGATGGATGGCAGGCGAGAGATCACTTGATCATTACCTGTTCAGTTCACTCCTTCTGGGGCACCTGGCATTAACCACTGTCAGCAGACAGGATACTGGGCTGGATGGACCTTTGGTCTGACCCAGTATAGCCTTTCTTATGTTCTTATTCTTATGTTCTTATGTTGACTAGAGGGGCCACTAGTCTGATGCTGTATGGCAATTCCTATGTTCCAGTTCTCACAGGCATTACATTAACCAAACAATAATTTAAAACATTAG